CCATGATGCATGCGGCTGCCCCCCATTTTCTGTGGCCGTTTGCGGTGAGGTACGCGGCGCATCAGCTCAACCTTCACCCCCGGGTCTCTCGGCCCGCGATGTCCCCAGTCTTGCTGTGGACGGGAAAGGTTGGCGATGCGTCGGCGTTCCGTGTCTGGGGATCTCGGGCGTTTGTCCGCGACTTGTCTGCGGACAAGCTGTCCCCTCGTGCTGCTCCCTGTGTCTTCCTTGGCTTCCCCACAGACGCTCCCGGGTGGCAGTTTTACCACCCCTCCTCTCGTCGTGTTCTGTCCTCCCAGGACGTCACGTTCGACGAGTCAGTCCCCTTCTACCGCCTCTTCCCCTACCGCACTCCTTCCCTCCCCCCTCCGCCGGACTTCCTTGTGCCGGTTCCCCCCCCGGTAGACCCCCTCCCCCCTCAGGTACCTGCCCCCTCAGGTGTGTCCCAGGTAGACGCAGTTGACCCGGTCGAGGTTACTGGTGACTCTGGTGCTGCTGCGGGTGCTGGGCCTGGGGGTGCTGACTCTGGGGGTGCTGTGCGCCGGGGTGCCGAGCCTGGAGGTGCTGCTACTGGGGGTGCTGAGGCTGGGGGTGCTGGGCCTGGGGGTGCTACTGCGGAGGTTGCTGAGCCAGGGGGTGCTGAGCCGGGGGGTGCTGTGCCTGGAGCTGCTGAGCTAGGGGGTGCTGGGGCTGGGGGTGCTGGGTCGGGAGCTGCTAAGCCTGGGGGTGCTGAGTCTGGAGCTGCTGAGCCTGGGGGTGCTGCGTCTGGAGCTGCTGAGCCTGGGGTTTCTCCTGCTGCTGCGTCTCGCCGGGAGCCCCTCTCTCCACAGGAGCTACGCGAGTGGTTTGCTCGCCGCTGGAGGCGTGCTGCTGGAGCTGGAGCTTCTTCGACCGTCGAGGGTGCTGGTGCTGCCGGTCCCGGAGCTGCTGGGCCTGGGGGTCCTACTGGAGCTGGAGCTGCTGAGGGTGTTGGTGCTGAGCCTACTGCTGTCTGTCCTGGCGGTGGTTCTGCTGCTGGTACTGCTGGAGGTCCTGCCGCTGGAGGTGTTGGTGGCGCTGGTGCTGTCGCTGAGGGTGTTGGTGGTGCTGGTGCTGTCCCTGCTGAGTCTGGAGCTGCCGCGCGGCCTCGGCCGTACTTCGTTCCGCTCCTGCAGCAGGTTCTTGGTCTTTCTCCTCCGGTAGGGTGTCCGCAGCCTGTCCAGTCGCAGTCACTGTTGGAGCCTTCCTCTCCACTGCCTGCTCCCTCTCCTTACACTGGTCCTACTAGAGGTCTTGCTGAGCGTCGTGAGCCTGCGTCTCGTCCCGCGTCGCCTGTTCGTACTGCTCGCGCTAGTGGTCGCGGTTCACGTCAGCGTCCTCCTCCTGTCCCTGGCATGCACCGGATGTCTCTGCGTCCGTCCACTGCTCCTCTGCGTGCCCCTTTGCCTTCTCCTCCTGAGTCCTCTCTTCCTGCACTTGCCGACCCTGAGTCGGACTCCCTTCGTGCTGCCAGTCCTACTGTCACGCGTCTGCTTGCTACTGTCGTCACTGACCCCTCTTTTGAGTCCACTGCTGCGTCTGCTCTTGTCGCTGAGCTCGTCGACTTTGTTGCTCGCTGTTGTCTAGACTACGCTGCTAGTCTTGTTGCTGAGTCTGCGTCTGTCTGTCCTCCGTCCGTCGGGGGTGAGTGTGCTCTTTGCACGGACGTCCTAGAGGACAGGCAGGAGGAGTTACAGTGTCTGGCGGCTGCTTCACCTCATCTCGCGTCTATACTGCTTGCTCCTTAGGGAGACCCGGATGCACTAGACATCCCGACTCCGCGCTCTTACGCGGAGGCCGTAGAGGGTCCCTACTCCTCTCAGTGGCAGGCAGCTATGGATGCAAAGATGGCTTCCTGGAAGTCCACAGGCACCTACGTTGACGCAGTTCCCCCTCCTGGGGCGAACATCGTCAGTGGCATGTGGATCTTCAGGGTGAAGCGGCCGCCGGGCTCTCCACCTGTCTTCAAGGCGCGGTACGTTGCTCGTGGCTTCAGTCAGCGGCAGGGAGTTGACTACTTTCAGACCTTCTCTCCCACCCCGAAGATGACCACTCTTCGGGTGCTGCTTCACATAGCCGCTCAGCGCGACTACGAGCTTCACTCTCTCGACTTCAGCACTGCGTTCCTGCAGGGTAGCCTGCACGAGGAGATCTGGCTGCGCCGTCCACCTGGCTTCACTGGGACTTTTCCTCCTGGCACCCAGTGGAGCCTCCGACGGCCAGTCTACGGTCTCCGCCAGGCACCGCGTGAGTGGCACGACACACTGAGGACTACGCTTGCGGCTCTTGGGTTTGCTCCTTCTACTGCTGACCAGTCGCTGTTTCTGCGCACCGACACTTCTTTGCCGCCGTTCTACATCCTCGTGTACGTCGACGACTTGGTCTTTGCCACAGCGGACACTGCTGGACTCGCCTACGTGATGTCCGAGCTGCTGAAGAGACACACGTGCACAGACCTGGGTGAACTGCGCAGCTACCTTGGCTTGCAGATCACTCGGGACAGAGCACGCCGCACCATTACCTTGACTCAGTCACACATGGTGCAGCAGGTCCTTCAGCGCTTCGGCTTCACGTACTCCTCGCCTCAGGCCACTCCTGTGTCTACTCGTCACTCGCTCTCAGCTCTGCCTTCGGATGAGTCCGTAGAGTCGAGTGGCCCGTACCCAGAGCTTGTTGGCTGCCTCATGTACCTGATGACCTGCACACGACCTGACCTTGCATACCCTCTTAGCATTCTCGCACGCTATGTTGCTCCTGGGAGACACAGACCGGAGCACATGGCTGCAGCGAAGAGGGTGTTGCGCTACTTGTGCAGTACGTCGGGCATGGGGCTAGTGCTTGGAGGGCGGAGTCCAGTAGTCCTTACAGGCCACGCTGACGCTTCTTGGGCTGACGACCAGGCTACGCAGCGGTCGTCACAGGGTTACACCTTCAGCCTTGGTTCCGGCTCTGTCTCGTGGCGGTCTACTCGCTCGTCTTCGGTTCTCAGCTCCAGTTGTGAGGCTGAGATCTACGCCGGGGCCATGGCTGCACAGGAGCTTCGCTGGCTCACCTACCTGCTGACTGACCTTGGAGAGCCGCCTCGTTCTCCTCCAGTGCTGTACGTAGACAACAAGGCCATGCTGGCCTTGTGTCGAGAGCAGCGTCTGGAGCACAGAACGAAGCACATTGCTCTTCGCTACTTCCTTGCTCGTGAGCTACAGCAGCGTGGACAGTTGCGGCTCGCGTACGTGGCCTCTGAGGCCAACACTGCTGATGTGTTCACCAAGGCACTCGCGCCTTGTGACCATCAGCGCTTCTGCACCCAGCTGGGTCTTGTGCCTGTCTTGCCTCACTTGCTCTCCTCTTGACTTAACTTGTACTGTGATATATATATACCTGCTCTTGCTTGTCTAGTTTTATATATATATGTCTGTACTCCTGCATGTGAACTGGCCTCTGGCCCTGCTCTTGTGCTCGGACTGTGTGGTGACTTTGTGATCCACCCTGAGCTTGTTTTGCTTTACTTTGCTTGACTGGTCTCGTGACCCCTTGTTCTCCCCCATTTTGCCTATGGGGGTGTGTCAGATATATATGACATAGCTGTTGTAGGCTATAGTGGGGTAGCACATATGGGGTACAGCTCTCTAGGGTTTGTATTTGTACCCAACTTTCACTTAGTCATTTCATTCCTGTTCTAGTATTCTCACACTTAGTGCGTTTCTGTAGTATCGAACCTCACCCGATACTGAAGCACAACAAAAGGGGTACGAAGTCGAAAAGGCGCGTACCACATCAAACCGCAACTGGAGGTTGCGAGCTGTAACCGCCTAGAGGTTACGTAACAGCAGGCGACGCTTCAGTGAACAGTAACCGCCTCGATAGTCGAAGCGTTACGCGTCTCGATAAACACAACCGCTTCCTGTAATCTATCTTTCCTATATATTTCTGTATGCTCTTTGCTTTAATCAATTACTTGTTCTCACACACCAGCACAAGTACATTCACTCGAGTCTTCCGCTGTGCTACTCTAGCACCTACTAGCCTATTCTCTGCAAAGATCCTAAGGCTGAAATTCTCAGCCCAACACCCACTATAGCCTACACAATATGCATGAGCTATAATGTTCTGACAAGCGCGTGAGCGACGGACAGCAGCCAGGGCTCTCGTTATCAGACTAATTTGGTCTGATGGTCTGATTTTCAGACTCACTTTTTTGGATTCATCTGATTTGGCAAACAGGATCAAACAAAACCATGTCTAATGCCCGGGGGACCCGTCTGATGAATCAGACGTTCTCAGATCCTAGCAAGAGCCCTGACAACAGCATGTCTGACAGGCGAGTATATTCGATATTTGTTACTTTCACAAATTGCGAATAAGTTATTCTGCTGTCGTAATTGCGTGTGCGTGAAGTTGCCAGAATCTATTTTGCGTTTCGTACAGCGATGTTGGCGGCATTCAGGTACTCGGCAAATAAAAATCTTCTCACATCTGTGGTATCGAATCGAAATGTTTAGTTGACCGAAATCGCTCATCTCTTCCCCGCACTAAAACGTGTGGATAAATACTATTTTGTGACATTAATAGGTAGTTCTTTGTTACAGTTCCACACAGAGAAACAATTAATTTATTGGATGACGAAGGCTGGCGACAGAGTCATGTGACACCCCTTTGAGATGGGAGAGCGGGTGGCGTGGCGAAGAGTGCTGAAATGAATCTACTTGGCATCTGCGTAACACCGCATCACAACCGTTCGCAACCGCATTCGGCACATCGCGGCTCGATGTCGCAGAGTATGCGCGGCGCGACATTTTCGAGATCCTACAAATAGCCGTAAACATCGAGTCTCCAAGTCCATTTCTCTCTCACACCTGATTTCCTTTCGGCACTCCTCTGCTGCATCCTCCCTGAAGTACTCGTAAGCAACTAGATTCGCGAGAAAATAAATAGATAAATCAGACAGAAAATTACTTGGTCGTCCTAACAACATTTTAGGCGTAATGTCCGTCGCCGAAGCGCCCGCAAATGACGACAGCGACAGCTCCCTTGCCCCCGGATTCAAATTCCAACCCACAGACGAGGAGCTCCTCTCTTTCTACTTTCCCCGAAGAATCGCCAACCAGCCCATCCCGCTGAACGCGATCGGCGACATTGAAATGTACGGATTCGAGCCCTGGGAGCTTCCGGGAAAGGCCATGATGTCGCTTTCTGCTAGTGACGAGTGGTTCTTCTTCGCGTCACGCGACAGAAAGTACCTCATGGGCACTCGCGCCAACCGGATGACTTCAGCCGGCTACTGGAAGGCCACGGGGAAAGACCGCCCCGTGTTCGCCGCACGGAAGGAGGAGAACAAGTCTCAAGGCAGCCGGGATGAGCATGAGTCGGGTAATGATGTCAAAAGCGGGCGCATAGTCGGGTATAAGAAGGGCCACGTGTTTTACAAAGGCAGGGCGCCTCACGGGGAGAAGACTGTTTGGGTGATGCACGAGTTCCGCCTCGCAGAGCCTAGTGACGACCCTTTGATCGGTCTGAATGTTGCCATTGCTGCCGCCGTGGAAGCTTCGCATGGTTGTGCCGCCAGTGGCAGTGAGGGCGGTTCTAAAAATGCAGCAGCGCCAGGATGAACGATGTCATCGGCAGCGCAGCGACAGAAGCAGCAGCAGCAGCATCTCCAGCTGCTGCAGCAGGGGACAACCACTTGGGTGGTGATTCGTCTCTACAAACGCGACGCGATCCCGTTTCAGGGCGACGGGGCGAAGCGAATCAAGCTGAGCAGCCTGGCTCCATCATTGCACCACGCCAAGTCGGTGTCGCTGCCATCGTCCCCACAGGAGCTCGCATCAGCAGCCTCTTTCGACGATGGCGTAGATGAGGAATCCGCGGAGGATGACGTGACTGCTGTCGTGAGTGATGCGGAAGTAGTGTATGACGAGGAATCTCTGAACGCGGATCTGCCAATTGTGGGGCGGGTGACCAACACGAGCACTGACATCGTCGGCGCCGAGCATGGTACATTCTCTGGAGACGGGGGGGAAAACAGTGGAGTGAAATGTGCAGGGAATGAGGATAAAGTCGGGCTGACTGTTGACAGCGGTGGTCCAGGGAGCATTCCTGGTAGCCAAATGATCTCAACAGAACCACGAAGTGTGGGCACACAGCCGCAAGCCGCCCCTGTCACTTGGAGTTATCATGGGCCAGTGCCGGTGGCGCGAGTGCCATCAGCTCAAACCATTGCATCGTTGGAAGCGCTACTGCTAGCAGATGATGATCCCAATGTCACGTACCGTGCAAACCTGAGCCATCATGCGATGACGTGGACCACACACGACGAGTCCCACCAAGTGAATATGACCCATGGCCATATGGACGGCCATAATGCAGCTCGGTGGTCCACACCCACACAGCAAGATGGGCCGTCGGGGGTTGCGGGTGCTAACGCCGCAGTTGCCCTCATGTCAGGGGTGCAATTCTCCACTCAGTCGGAGCAGCTTGACAAGGAAGTAGCAGAAGGGCTGCATAATGTGGCTCACATGCACACTACTACGGAAACGTGCAACCTTGTCTCCCTCCTGTTCTCCAACCTTACATCCCCGCCTATCCTCCAGTCCGCGCCCTCCATTCCCTTGCCATCCATGCCCTCCTTCACTCAGTCCCTGTCATCCACCACTTCTCCTGGATTAATGAGCCAGCCAATACTTGAAAGCACGGAAAAGAATATCCAAGATGTTGAGGGAATGGGTGATGGTGCGACACTGTCAATGGGAGATGATTCTGTTGATTTGCCACCTGGGTCGCAGCTAGAATGAAAAGAGGCATGAGATCACCAAGAGGGATGGAAAGCTAGTACTAGAATGAAATATATGAAATAAAATATATCACTAGGTTTAATATAAATGCGGATTATATGTAGTGGTAATGACAGCATAAGCTGTCTGTTTTTCGTCTTGCCATGTTCACGCTGTTTGTTCATCAGGGGATGGTATATTATTCACTCACCCAGTATTACATAAACCTTTCCTTTTTATACTGTAGAGTGTACGTCTGGAAAACTGTGTGTGGCAGCGAAAATGAGTGGTAATTTCGATAGTAGCTCATGCTCCCACGATGTTCGCCCAGTTCGGACCTCCCACCATTTTCGAGATACAGGGAGCTGTTGAACACGAGCACCGGTCAAGAAGCCTAACCACCGTGCTGTTCTGTAAACCACCGCTTTGCCGCGCAACGCATCTCATCAAACCGCAAAAAAAACGATCTGCCTTGTGATGCGAGTTGTGCACAACCATTTCGCATGCGCGAAAGGAAATAAGGGGTGGCGAACTCCTCAAACTTGGCTGGAAAAAATTCAGTCTGTGCAGCATGATTTGTTGCAGGTGGTTAGCTAACCACGACCTAAAGGGACCTACGTCGACCTAAGAAGAAATCGGTGTGACTAGCAGTGACTAAGGGGGAGTAAGGACCTAAGAAGAATATGAGCTACTTGTGTTGGGGCGGTAGATGAAGGAACACGGCAGCGGCGGAACCTATGGTGAGAAACGGAGAGAACAAGAGGGAGCGTGCGGATGTGGAGAAGATCAGGGCTGAAATGTCGAGATTTGAAGTGAAGTGAAGGGAAGTCACGCCGGGTCAAAGGCGCGTCCAAGGAAGTCTGAAATTCGAACTCGAGGCGCGTTCGGTGCATGGTTGGATTTGGAAATTGAGCCGAGTACAAGTCAGCTCGAAATTAGGCGCGGCGCGAGGGCGAAATCAGAAATCCTTATGCTTATAACTTGCTTTGTGTTTTCTGTTTTTGTATGCCTTCTTCAATGAAATTACTTGAACTTTCTGCCTTGACGTTTTCCAGCAAATTCCTTCACACAGTTGAGGCCAGAGCTTCATATGCTTGTTACTAAGACTCTAAATAGTCTTCATAGTCTAGACTAAAGGCTGCGCACGTACAAGAGCTGGTATCAGAGCTGGTTTAAGGCGTGTTCTAGCGTTTTGAGGATAGGCGGAATATACTAAGTATGACGGACGATCATACTGAGGCGAGTTCGGGCTCCTCTGTGAGCATTGGAGGCTCAGAACTACAGGCCATCCTAACAGCGCTAGCACAAGCTAAATTGACGGTGAAGCCAACGATTGGGCTTAGCGAGGCCCAACGGTTCCATGGAGAAAATTATAGCACGTGGCGACTCAAGTTCATTCGTAGAGCGGAGGAAGTCAATCTCTGGCCATACTATCATCCCGACAAGGAGACGGGAGAGGGCATCCCACCATCTGCAAAAGAAAAACCAGAAGAAAATGCGTCATTCAAAAAAAGGAGTAAGCAAGCCTTTTTTCAATTGTGCCATTCGGTTTCTGACAGCATTGCAGTGGGGCTGGATCAATTTGCGGGAGAGGAGAACTCTGCCGAACGAGCCTGGGAGTACATGGAAGCTGCTTACCTTGGGCTTACGGATACGAACAAAGCAGCCATTCGGAAGAAACTCCTTCTATTGAGTATGGAGCCGGGAGAGAGGGTCATTGACTACATGAATCGAGCGAAGGGGTACAATGACGACCTCAAGGCTATGGGGGCAGCTGAAACTGAAGGAGAAATGATGGCGTACATCATTACTGGGCTGCCCAAGGAGTGGGAAGCAGAGATAGGGCTCCTAACCTGCAACCCACCCGTGAATATGACCAAGCTGTTGGAGACGCTCCAAGCTCTGGAGCGGGTGAAAGCTGATCGGCTCAGGAAGGAGGTTAACTTGAATGGAATGGGACCAGCCACTCATGCCATGGTAAACGCAGCAGCTACAGGGAAAGGATATGGAGGATTCGGGGCGTGTTTTCAGTGTGGAAAGAAGGGTCATAAGCAGATAGACTGCTATGACAACCCAAGGAGCAGAAATTTTAAAGGGAAATGGAGCGGTCTGCAGCAGAAGGGGCTGCAGAACGGATGGCAGAGAGAGGGGGAGGTTCGAGGTGATAACAAGATGCACAAAAACTTCCAACCAGGCGCGTCAGGGGGGAAGCCAAGGAAGACGGAGGGAACCGCACGGGGGGACAGCTTGTCCGCAGACAAGTCGCGGACAAAAGCCCGAGATCCCCAGACACGAAACGCAGACGCATCGCCAACCTTCCCCGTCCACCGCAGAGTAGGGGAGGTCTCCGGCAAGGAGACCCGGGGCTGAAGGTTGATCTGATGCGCCGGGTACTGAACGGCGAACGGCCACAGAAAATGGGGAGCAGCCGCATGGATCATGGACGTACGAGCGACGTCCATGACCATGCCCATGTGGCGCTCAGCAATCCCATTTTGCTGTGGAGAGGCCGGAAGCGTGAACGTCTAACGGATGACCTGTGCACGACAGAAGGCTCGCAGAAGGTCAGAGGAAAACTCACCTCCTTTGTCGCAGTGCAGACGCAGGACAAGAAAGTCCGAGCCGAAACTCTCTCTGAGCTGGAGACGAGCCGCGCGGATCCAGTCGATCAACACCTCAGTGACGTCACCCTTGCTTCGCAAGGGGAACATCGTGGTGTAACGCGAGTAGTCGTCAACCACCACCAGGAAGTAACGCTCGTGACCCTGGCCACGGACGCGAGCGTGGCCCCACACGTCCATGTGAAGAGTCTGCAGCGCAGCCTCTGTCGGAGGAAACTCGGAAGAGTGAGGGGCGGCGCGCTGCCGTCCCTCGACGCAGGGAATGCAGGTAGGGGCAGGCCCCAGAGGGAGGGGAGGGAGGGACCGGGGGAGACCAGAGACAAGGACACGGGAGGACATGCCTCGGAGACGAGGCAGGGAGGGGTGACCAAGGCGGTGGTGCCAGAGGAGAGTCTGGTGGGACAGGAGACGAAACAAGCAGGGAGCAGAATCAGGACCAGACCTGGACGCTGCAGCAAACACCTGACTCGATGCAGCTACCTGACCAGACTCAGCAACCGGAGGAGCCTCAGTAGTCAGTGTGTATAGGCTCAACCCCGGCCGACGGGTAAACGTGGCCCAGTGTCGGCCCGTCCGAGCAAACGTACAGTGGGTCACTCGCTGACTCGTAGGAGTGAACTGGTCAACCCCCCCATCCTGTAGATCAGTACCACTCACCAAGTTCGTAGGGAACGAGGGGAGGTAGAGACCTGACAGGGTGCCTGAGGGGGCTGCCGGACACGGTAACACAGTGGAGAAGTGAGCAAGCACAGGACCCCTAGAGGGGTACGCCAGGGAGACCGCAACCGGCCGACTAAGCGGCGTAAGCATGGTGCGGTCTCGAAAGAAGGAGCGGGAAGCACCCGAGTCAAGGGTGAAGGTGTGTAAGGCCTGAGCCGACGTGGTACCTGAGAGAGCAGACTCACCAGCACCTGGGGCAGCAGACGCACTAGCACCTAGAGCAGCAGCCTCACCAGCACCTAGAGCAGCAGCCTCAATGCCCGGGTCAGGCGGAACACACAGGTAACGGTCACCCTCATCACTAGTAGACACAACATACATGGCCGCAAGAATAGCATCATAATCAAGATCAAAGATAGCAACCCTAGACCTCTGCAGCTCTCCCCAGCGAGGGATCTCAGTGGCGTCAGGGAACTGGAGACGCGAGGCGTTCGTCAGGCGGCCGAAGCAGCGCTGGGTGGGGTGCGGGCCCCTGCACTGCTCACCCGTACGGTCGCCGGTATGCAGGATCTAGGTACAGGGACCAATACCCCCACCCCGCTGACGCGAAGCGTACCACTCATGAAGCTGCTCGGGGGGCGGGGTCTCACGAGTGCGCTGCTGCTGCTGGCGCTGACCACCACCGAAGCCGCCCCGCTGCGCAGAGCCACCCCGACTAGCTCCACCTCCTCCGCTGCCACCTCCGCCACCGCCGCCACCGCCTCCTCCTCCGCTCCCACCGCCACCGCTGCCGCCGCCCCTGCCGCCACCGCCGCCACTGAAGCCCCCACCCCCGCCACCACTCCCACCACCACCCCCACTCCCTCCGCCTCCTCCACCGCCACCTCCACCGCCCCCGCCAGCCCCTCCAGTGCCCTTGCCCCCATTGCCCTTGCCGGTGCGGCGTCGCCCGCTAGAGGCAGACGCAGCGCCAACCGAATCGGTGCCAACGAAGTCGACGGCAGCAACAGAGGCAGCAGAGGGCAAAAGGGGGGAGGGGGAGCACCCCTCAAAGACAGGGGCACGAGGGTCACCTCGAGAGGCTCCTACAGCGACTATACTCTTCTCAGCTGCCAGGAGGCGCTCCTCTAGGAGGTCAACGGTGAGTGTGGTGGGGCAAAGAGAGAGGAAGTGGTCCCTGACCGAGCGAAGGGAGTCAGGGAGCCGGGTGACTATGTAGTAGAGGGTGATGTACATGGGGGGGGGGGGGGGGGGGGTTCCTGGAGCAGAACTCAGCAGGAAGCGCAGCGCGGTAGCGGGTGTCACTAGTGCGAAGGTGCGTAACGAGGTCAGCAACAGTGGTAAAGGCGGCGAGGTCAGGAAACAGGTACGGCAGCATGAGGCGGCTAAGAGCAGTAGTGGCAGGGGAAGAGTAGCGTGCAACTACAACGTCGTACAAGGTCTTAGCATTCTTGTACTGACTAAAGTGCGCACGCTCAGCGGTCGGTAAGTGGCGATGCAGAGCAAGACGGGCAGCAGCATCGCGTGTGGCCCACTGTGAGCAAACATTGCTGTCAGCATCTGCAGGCGGGGCAGGAGAGGCACCAGAGGTGAGATCGAACAGGGAGAGTCCGTCTGCCCTATCGCACTGTAGG